AAAAATGATACAAATTTGAGAAATAACTAGAGAAATGCTTACATAATCGTGATTTGTTAAATTTTGATAACAAATTATTAAATATAATTGCGGTAAGGGTCAGGGACGGGTACCATTTAAATGTTGGACATACAATTGAGGTTATGTTTATAGATTTTATCACGGTCTTAAAACCATAGATAATAGCATAGACATATGAGACAGTTTAAGAATTCGCTAGACTAAAACGGTGTGAAAAAAATGCACCGGGATGTTTGGACCATATAATTTACATGGTTCATTATCCCGGTGCGGGATAATATGGGATAATTTGAAACCGGTTAGACGCTCTAGACGTCTCTAGACGCTCGTAATAAAAACGGTTTATATCACTACAACTATCATGCTGAAAAATAGTCATATCAGTTTGGTTTGGAATAAACACAAATTACATTACCACTGGCCGCTTAATTTAAAAATATTTAAATTTTTAATATTATATCACAGAATAAATCAAGAATCAGAATAAATTACTTTTTAAAAGTAATAACTAATTTCTATCGAATAATGCGTTACAGTTTCGAATTATTAGGTACCTACCTACCTATTGCGAATTGAAAAAAAAATATATGTATAATGCCGGTATTATTATGTTTACCAATCTAATAACATATAATATATATATTTAATTTTTACTCAGCACAGTTCAGTTTTCAATGGATTTGACATTTGAAATGTCTAATTGCACCGTAAATCACGAGAACAGTTAATTAAATTTATTATTTATTTGTTTCTTTTAAATAGGTTGTCTATGAATATAGCTTGTGCGGAAGACTATATTTTATATGATCCTATTAACTATATAGGTTTTATAAAGAATTTGCTTGTACAATTTGCCTGCAGAAGATAATTGCCTGGAAATTTAAAAAAAATTTTATTTTTGTAACGAGAAAGTAATGAGTTACTTCCCTGTTTGAAAAGTAAAGTAATTTCATTGCAATTTTATTTGAGTAACGATTAAAGTACCTAATTACATTTATCTCTTTAGTAACGAGTAAAGTAACTTGATTACCTTTTAAAAGTAACTTACCCAATTCTGATCATTACATAGGTACAAATAAAATTTCACAACTGACTACTGACTACCAATGGTAAATGTATAATATAATGACAGGAAAGGTTATTACAATAAATGGCTAGTACTAGCAAAATTCAACGATTAGAATTTTGTTATATTAAACACATCAGTGTAGTAACTCAGGTGTATACTCTTACTCTATCTTAATACCTTAATATTTTCAAAATTTGGTGGTTGTTACATAACATATTTATACCATCATTAGGATTTTAGATATGCATTATATTATATATTACTATTATGGAGCTAATTATTATTTGATCGTTTGATTATTTATCTAATAATGTCAAATATTAGATTAAAAATATTAAAGGCACCATGTAATATCGATGTAATTATGTACTATTTTAAATTTTGAACATCGTTTAAAGATATGTACGCATATCTTTAAATTACAAGACACCTACAAATTAGTAACTCCAATTAATAAACTATAATGATGATCAGGAAATGAAAACACACCGAATCATTTTTTTTTTTTTATATTTTATATTTTAATTTTTTTTTACTGCGCTTCTGTATCTGCTGCTTCTGTGTGTTCTGCTTCTGTATCTGCTGCAGGCTGTAGCTGCTGCTGCTGCTGCTGCTGCAGCTGCTGAGCAGCCAGGGCAGCCTCCTCTCTTAATCTCCTCGCAAGAGAGATTGCTGCTTCTGCAGCCTTCTCTGCCCTGGCTGCTCTACTCGCAGCCTCGGCGGCAGCATCCGTGGCCGCTGCGGCGGCGCGCTTGGCGTACTCGCACTGTGTGGCGGTATGCCCCCGTTTGAAACAAACTATGCATTCTATAAAATCAAAGAAATCAAAATTAAAACACATCCATGATAAGTAAATAACCAATTAGTTGGTATCATATGATAATATATACTTACTATTCCTGTTGGGGGCTTTACCGCCACCACGACCGCCGCCGCCACCACGATTGCCGCCGTCACCACGACCGCCTTTGCCACCACCACGACCGCCTTTGCCACCACGACCGCCGCCGCCGCCGCCGCCATAATTATAAATGTAAGTTGACATCTAAACATAAGTTAAATTATAGGCATAAAGTTTTTATAATAAATGATACAAAATATTTCAATATTTATACACTACCTATACTACAATTAGTTAGTTATTTATATCAAATTAATGTTGTTATTTTGGAATATAAATATTACGATGAATGATTTCAATTTTAAAAATAAAAATAATAAATTTAACAATATTTACAACATGATCAATATTAGTTGTATATTCAACCACAATAGGTACGCTGAAAGTTAGATACTTAGTTATCCTATTTACCAATTAATGTAATAAATTTGAATTTATACTAACCAAGGAAAATTAACTGTTATTTTTAAATTGTACAGAATTAAGAGGATGTAACACTGACATTTGTTGTCTCCGTCTTACAAGTGCATAACATAGCACATTTACGCTCAGCAGAACACGTGTAGCTTCGTCAGTTTAAAAATTAGAGTGAATTGACCTATTATGAAACTTAATGGTAAGAACATTATCTGTGTTTGTATGTTGGTTTTTTAGGATAGTTCAATTTTTAAGTGAGTTATGAGCATTTTTAATTTATGGTATATTGTATACGTATAACTTGCTAAAAAATTGAACTATCCTAAAAAACCAACATACAAACACAGATAATGTTCTTACCATTAAGTTTCATAATAGGTCAATTCACTCTAATTTTTAAACTGATGAAGTTACACGTGTTCTGCTGAGCGTAAATGTGCTATGTTATGCACTTGTAAGACGGAGACAACAAATACCAGTGTTACGACCTCTTAAATTCAGTGGCGTGGCGTGGGTATTAAAAAGATGTAAGCAGCGAAATTTTTTTTCAAAAGTGATTAGAATATAGGCACTATACCTGAATACCTAATTATAAATTATGTATAAAAAAATGTAATAAAGAGAAAATAAAGAAATTGAAGTATAAATACTTCAAAATTCTATTAGGCGAATGACAGCGACAGTGTACGTAAAACGTCTACAGTCTACAACGCGTCGGGCT